CTGGGAAGTCCTCCAAGACCGTACTCAACTTCAACCTCAACCTCCATCTTCAAGGCGAATACAACTGCTCTCCAGCCGCAGCGAGCTTATACTAGCTATCTTCCTTGTAGCTTTGTCCTCTCTATCCGATTTTACAAACCAACTATCACTCTGCCATCCAGGAAACGAACGATCTCCGCCGAATTTCTTCGCTTTAGGCCGGTCTACTGCGAGTACACTGCCAGCCCGTGCCAGTCGAACATGGCACTGATCCTCCTAGAGTATCTATAGACCACATTATTCTCGACACACTCATTCGCCGATTTTGCCTCCAAGCTCTCAATATAAAACGAATGAAACCTTGGACGGGGTAAACTCAATTGTTCTTTTGCCGGCACAATAGGCCAATACGCAGTGACGCAGTGCGGCTTACTTTGAGTGTGTGTGTGTGTGTGTGAAGCTTTCACGAGAAACTCAACCCCGAAATAACCTCGAATTTGGCGATTGCGCCTATTGCTTCGCCCACAAACAAGCAGGCGAAACGCATAGGCCTCCATGTCGGCTGGTACATTGCTCGGGACCTTGAACTTTCCTCCTTCACCTCCGCACGGCTCAGGCAGCCGGGAACCCAGCTTTCCTTCAAGTATACAACTGCCCAAGCTGCATTCTAGATTCGACAACACTCTGTTATCGCGAAACGGGCTTAGGACTCCTCCGACTGACGAAATGAGCACTGTCTTTCAGTCCCAGCTGGCTTCATGGGAGAATCATGCTATTCACAACTATCCTGCTGCAGTGCCCCAGGCTGCCCGACCTGCAGCTCCTGTAACCGATCCGAGAGCATCTCAATACTGCAGATATCCCACGCAGCAACAAGATCAACGGCAGCAGCAACCACAACCACAACAACAATCCACATATAACCATTACTACCAGCATGAACCATCGACACAACCTGCACAGCCTCAGCTTAATTTACATCCGACGTCCCAAGTCTCTCAACACCGAAATGGGTCAATCTCAGCAGAGTCACAAGCCCCGGGACAGACCATCGGGCCATCAACGCCTGCATCGACTGCGTCAGGGAGCAGGGACGAGTCCGAGTCGCTTGTCTATCACAGCCTGCAAATCCCCAAGTGCATCAGCCCTTCGGGTGGAAACCTCGCCGATTTCGCTGCTCAGGTATGCGATCTCCAATACACATCGTGGACTCCTCAAAATGCTAACAAGAACAGATGACTTGCTTGTTCTGGTTCGAATCGATTGAGGAACTCAAGCAGGCCGAGTCGATCCGTGTCAGAGGCCCCAACGCTCTCATCCCTCGGTTACCATCTCTTGCCAATCCCCACGACCAATTTCGGAAGTGGGTGTACAGCGTGTTGTCTACGACACAGGTGACCCAAAATGTCATCCTATTGGCATTGTTGTTCATCTACCGATTAAAGATGTCAACTCCTCAAATCAAAGGTCGTGCCGGCAGTGAATATCGATTGTTGACTGTGGCCCTCATGCTCGGGAACAAATGTAAGTGAGGAGTTAACATGGGTGTCAAACATCAACTGACCTTGTCACACACAGTCTTGGATGATAACACCTACACGAACAAGACCTGGGCCGAAGTGTCAAGCTTCGTTGTGCAGGAGATCCATGTCATGGAGGTGGAGTTTCTGAGCAACATGCGATACAATTTGGTTGCTACTAAGGCGCAATGGGAGGGCTGGTTGGACAAGCTTTCCTGCTTCCACGAGTACTACGAGCGAGCTGTGCGATTGCCAGCATCCCCGATTCATATTCCTTCGCCAACAAACAAGTCTCATCACTCGCCTGTCGCTTCACCGACGGGTATGATGCAGCCCATCGCCAATCTCCCTACTCCGGCTGTTACAACGACCAACTACTCACCTGCCTCGAGTCATTCCCAGAACTGGTCTGCATACCACTCCAACACCGCCTCTCCATTGGCTACCAAGCCCAACCTGCAGTTCCCTGTCTCACGGAAGCGAAGTCCCGAGGAAGAGATTATGGAACACCCCGCGAAGCGCCTTGCTCCCCCTGGACGAGTTCCAGCTCCCGCGATGGTCCAAGCTGTCAACCCGCGGTCCAATGGAATCGTGGAGCCGGCGAGGCTGCCTGTTCCCCATCTCACTGTCATGACCGGACAACCCCAGATGCAGCCTCAGATGCAGCCCCAGACCCAGCCTGCACTGACGCCCTTCAACAACGGCAATGTCAATATCAACGGGTATCCTCAACCTACGCAGCAGGTTGCCCAGCCTGTTCACGTCTCGCTTCCTCCATTGCAGACCAGTATGCGTGCCATGTCAACAGTCTACCCATCAGGCCCTGCCGCTATGGTACAAAAGCAATCGCTTCCCACCACAACGGGTGTCACCATGGCTCAAGCTGGCTTTCCTACTCAGGCACCTGTTAACTTCGGTACACCAAACAAGCAGCACAGTCCTGGACGTCTGGGTCCCTTTAACTCATCGCCTCTGGCTGAGGCATACGGTCAAGCATCGGCTGTTCACACTCCTCTGGTGCACACTCCCATTTCTAACTCGCCGAGTGTCTTCCTGCAACAGCGACCTAGTCCGTATAAACCTGTGCGCCATGTTAATACTCTCTTGTGTCCCCCACCTTCGGCCTCACTTGATCAATATCATCTCGCTGTGCCTGTTCCCCCGACACAGATGCACTATCAGCCACTAGGACGACGAAACGACCTGCGAACTGGCATTGTCCCAGAATTTACGGTCTATAACCGCAGTCACCCCCAGAGCCTCCCCCCTCATGGACTCGCCCAGGGACACTACCCGTCTTAGGGATGGCAGGGTTACCCTGCGATCGTTCATGAATACCACCACACCACACAACAAAAGCCCCAGCTCTGAGGCCATTTCAATTCGGCATCTGAAGTATATTCCGCATTTTTTCCACGGATCATCGCATCCTTGTTTTTATGAAGTTAGATTTTTGGGGTCGGGTTTGCATCACAGCATGGCATGGCATAGGCGTTTGGAAGGAAAGAAATAGGCCAGGGTTCAACAGTCTCCCGGCTAGGGGAGGAAAGAAAACTCAGGGCCTTGACCCTAAGGGATGAAAATACATAGGTCAACTTAGCCTAAGTTTAGGTTTCTCTCAAGGTTCGGTGTTTTGTTGCCCCCTGAGGCCCGGATAGGACTACATGAGGAAACGGATCAGGACATCAGGGCTTTCGGTCGCATTTGGCTTGGAGTTTGGCTTGTTTTTCTAGTGATGAATGCTGCGATGCCATATAGGTTGGCAATGAAGCATGTTTCACGATGCATTGAGCTTCTTACCGGAAAGCTCATCACATATCGCAGCGTTCATCCAGCATCGGATTTCTCTGCATGACGTCGGCGTCAACATCGCCTGTATATAGACGGACGCGGAGGACGTCAGTTATGACTCTTAGAATAGATCACAATTAACAGAGGGTTCTGCCAAAGGCGCCAACCCTGCCTCATACATCACATTTTGCTATACATCATTGGCGCTTTACTCGTGACGATGCTTCGGGTGTCATGAGTGTATTTGTAGCCTGCCTAGGGGAGGAAATAAAACTCAGGACCTTGACCTAAAGCGATAAAAATATCACGTAAATTTAGCCTAAGCTTAGGGTGTTCTTTACTAAGTTTATTTTGACACCTTATATCAAGGTTCGGTGTTTTCTTGCCCCGTGAAGCCTACCTGTTAGTCGGTGGCATTATGGTTAGACAACATATGCGCCTATAGTTTCTATGTGACTCGACGACATGGGATTATGGTGTGTCCAAGTGTGGTTTTACTCGCTGGCACTTACTTATGCGAATACCTGGAGCTTGTATCATGGCATACAACTTACATGACTTTTCTGTGGTTTGAACACATGTCATTGGGTTATACAAGCAGCCAGTGGCAACGTCAGCCGCGCAACATAAACTCTTTGATGATTGAGTTTCGTCCCTCCTTCTGACTACAGCCCATAATCTAATTATGCCGCCATTGATTTGTGAGGTGCTAGAACAAATGTAGGGTTTGCTCTAGGGTATTCACCAAACAGAAGTGGTGATATTTGGGAAAACCCAACTTCGGTACTCCGTAGCACCACATGGAAAGCATTTCAGGGAGCGGTACGGATATTGCTGGAATCATTCATATCAATAAAAATTCAGTTCTAATTTGCCAATGTAGCTAAGGTCATGTCATATATCTTTGCTGCCTCTAAATCTTAGGTTGACTACTCCGTATAGTACAGGGTCGCAGGGTTATCACTGGCAAACAGGGCATGATGCGCTCCCTACAGCAACGCCAAGAAACGAACCAATCATATAACACACCAGCCACTTTTCAAACGCCTCTACTTCTCCACCTCTGCCACTTTCCCACAACAACGGCACAGCAACGAGATCCTCCGCTCGCTCCACTTTGTCTCTTCTGACCTTCACTCATCTCTCTCGCCTGAGCCTAAAGCGCAGCAGAGGCATGCAACACATTCGCTTCGATACCTCGAATTAAACCATCGCTGTCGTCGCGTCGCATCGCATCGCATCTGTTTTGTTCTTGGTGTTTTAGATCCGACCGGTTTTCTTGTCTCTCCTCTCGTTTTCAGGTTTGGTTCTTTAGCCGCTAGGTCGAAGAAAGGGGGCGCCGACGAGTCATCGGTCCAGGACGAGACATTTGCTACCCGACCGAGCGAAGTACTCCCCCTTTTACGCAGTAAAGGGTTGTGATTGCATTCCGATCGAAATTTGAGCCCCCTGTAGTTGGGGATATCTCCTAATATTCGCCCTCGAACTTCGACGACGATTGAAAGGATTGGGTCAGCGACTGATTATCGCGCTGAGGGTTTTCGACGACTCGACGACATCGATTCGACGACATAAACGCTCTTCTCGACGACAATCGCTCTGCCACTCGTTATCGCGACATTCGATTCACCGTTCCCCGCACTCTCGCTCACTTTTGGATCTACATAATTCCTGCAACAACAACCGAGCAGTGATCTCTACCCGCCCATCATGTCTGGCTTTGGCGACTTCACTTGGATCTGTGAGACGGCACCTCTGCCACTATGCGCTTCCGTTGGACCTACGCTCCAAGCCACCGGCCGAACTGGTATTCAGCCAGAATGCTATGCACGCAATATCGAACTTGCCAACACCATCATTTTCGAAGGCGCTGCGTCGGTGATGCACATTGTTGCGCTTATTATGACCGTCATTATGATTCTCCACGTCCGTAGCAAGTTCACCGCTGTTGGTCGCAAGGAGATTCTCAGCTTCTTCTACCTCTATATGCTTCTCACTGCCATGTCTCTCATTATCGACGCTGGTGTTGCACCTCCGGGAAGCGACCCGTATCCGTACTTTGTCAGTGTGCAGAATGGGCTTAGCAGTGCAGTTATCACATGTCTCCTGATCAATGGCTTCGTTGGATTCCAATTGTATGAAGATGGAACACCTCTGTCAGTGTGGATGATGCGCATCAGTTCTCTGGCTGCTTTCGCCATCAGCTTCCTAGTCTCTCTCGCGACTTTCAAGAGCTGGGCTGGACTTGGACCTACCAACACTGTTGGACTGTTCGTCGTTCTATATCTCTTGAATGCTGTGCAGCTTTTCGTGTACGTGGCCATGCAGATTCTGCTCGTGACTAGGACACTGCAGGACCGATGGCCTCTTGGCGATATTGCGTTTGGCATCTTCTTTTTTGTGGCTGGTCAGGTCCTTCTCTACGCTTTCAGTTCAAAGATCTGTGTCGCTATCAGCCATTATCTTGACGGCCTGTTCCTTGCGACAGTTTGTAATTTGCTGGGCGTAATGATGGTTTACAAGGTATGTCAAATATGAACCGGAAACTCTGCGGTTCGCTACTAATATTTTAACAGTACTGGGATTCGATCACCAAGGAAGATCTTGAATTCTCGGTTGGCACAAGGATGAACAACTGGGAGGTCAAGGAGCTTCTGCCAGAGGAAGATCGAAGGGCGACTGTCTTTTCGGAGGATCCCTATGCTCGATCCAGCTCCTATGATCTGCCTTACTCGCCAGGCGCGGCACGATACTCGGCCAAGTACTAAACGCTCTGACCACCAGAACAACTTTGACGCCATTAACGAGACTTCATTTTCTTCTGTTTTGATTCAGCGCGTGTCGCGCAGTTCATGGCGCTCTTGTCGAGCGACACGAAACATTGGGCTGTTTTGCTTTTAGAATCCTTACATTGCGCGGCGTTTTTAATGGACTGTATAGGTGTGACCAGCCTGGATGGCCACAACTGGGGGTAACGAAAACCGACGGGCAAATGGAAGGCCTGGGGGAAGCAAGAGACGCTTGTTAATAAGGGGAGGGAACCTTGATGACCAGTCCAGGATGGACAACGACATTGTAGTTGTTGCGAGTTTTGCATATAATGGATCATATAGGTAGTTTATATATTACTGAGACTATACTTGCAACGCTTGCCATGGATTGAATTTTTGATCGTATCGTGGTTCTTGGACTACCAGATGGCTGGCTGGCATGATCTGATCTGATAGTCGGCCAGATAGGCTTATGATACATGAGCTAGACAGGCTTAAGCTGAGCGATCCGTGTTATTATACCGAGTTGGGATTGGTGAGAACGAAGTCTCGTGTCGGTAAGAAACTTTCGGGTTGATATTCGTAGTAGCTTGGCAGAGCATGTTAGTGGAGAGGTCATGTCACTGGACGAATGGATATTCAATTCCCCACCTCCCATCTCGGCCGTCTCCGAAGCCTATCGGCGATGATAATGAAAACCAGGTTATATCCAGGAACTAACTAACATAGGTCTAATATGTGCAAACATATTCGTACATAATCAATTAGTACTGTACTGTGAAGGATGAGATCACAACCAGCTTAGAGACATGTGCCGCACGCGGGACAGGCAACAATATGTATAGGCGATATCGACAAGGAAGTACAACGTAGTATGCATGCATGAATACACAAGAATATTAATAAGTTTAGTTGATGCTCCCCGTCTAGGTAGGTACTGTATCTCTTAACAAGCACTATCGTGTCAGCATGGGACCCGGCGCCACAGGATCAAGGGGGCGTGGAGACGATATACTACAGTGCCGAATTCATTGGACGGTGTCAGCTGGCGTCGCTGGCTTTTATCTTGTTGTGACAAAGTATTGTACTGTGAGAACTCTCGATGGATTGAGTGAGGGTGAAGGGGGCCGGGACGGAATTGGAGGGAGCCAAATCGCACGTAATGTAGCCAACCAACCACGACAACTGAACTAAGGAAACACGACCAGGGCAGCTGCTCGTATATAAGTCCATTCCCTCTGTTATAGAGCTATACTACAGTACTAGTAGTACGCTGGGCTACCGCTACCAAAGTTGGTCGCAGGGAAATAAGGAAGCGCGGAGCCGAACATTATTACCGTCTCCATATATCCGTTTCGGGCTCGAGACTATGTGTAATTTGGTGCAGTGGTATGGACTTAAGATAACTGATTAGTACCAAGGTATAACCTGCGGGTAAATAACAGCGACAGGGTCGCGTATGCGTGTTGCTTAGAACGGAGTCTTGTTGAAGCTCATCGATTCCATCAAGCTCGGATCTTCTCAGGGGGAACCACAAAAAAAGCTCATCGATAAATGCTCTGGACGTTGATGATGAGGCTGACTTGTGATTTCGACTTTCTCTCCTTCCTCGTTCGCTTTAATGCTGGAGTCACCGCGTATAGTTTCCTCGCACGTGATAAGGCACTAGAGCGAAAAAGGCACCGGAAGCAGGGGGTGGCCTGTCGAGTTTTACGTTTTACTCGCTTCGTGCATGGTTCGGTACCGGACGCTGGGTACCTTTTTTATAATGGAGAAGTGAAAGCAGAACCAACAGGTGGAGATTGAATCAAAATGCCTAGGACTTATGTAGCAGCGTAATGTAGTTGATCAGGCGATGTATGTAGCATATGACAGACACGTGCTTGATTGAACATGGGGGAATTTCCTCGATACCTTGGTGCCTAAGTTGGTAAGAAAACGAGAGTTATATTGTCACGTAGGTACTATGACATTTGGTTTCTCAAGTGATGAGGTAGCTTCAACTGCTGTCGAACTCAATTCTTATTCCTTAGCCTCTAGGTACTTTCTTGGGACAAGCTACAGACTAGGTACTAAGATACCAGTCCAACCTCTGTGAGTGGTCGATCGGTGCAAGGGTCCACGAGGATCTAGCGGAAACAAAGCGCGCGAAAGCAGCTGAGACGGGAAATAAGTTAGCAAAGAGGAAAGAAAAGGATCCTCCTACAGACTTGCATTAGTAGGGAGAAGAAAAGAGACTTGCAGTACTTTTCCTCATAAGTCTGGTGCACGTACCTGGCCGCACAACTACCTGATGTAAGGTGAGGTTTGATTTGACACACATGTGCTTTTACGTTTAGGACGGATCCATACCAACCGACCTATACCTCCCAACCTCACGTCGGCAGGTACCTACTAGTTACTAACTCGGCCTACTACTACCGGTAGAGCTAATAGCTTTCTGTAATATGCATTCACACCTTATTCGTGCTCTCCTCTCATTCGCCCCATTGCGGTGGTTTCGGTTGGTTGTTTGCTAGTCCATCCATCCCTCCTAGGTGCCTGCCAGCCCAGGCCAAGTGGTCTAGGTAGGTAGGTACCATACTTAGGTGAGGTGAGATAGCTCATAGGTACTGTAGCACTTCCCTTTCCAGTCAGTCAGTCAGTCAGTCACTCCCGTGTGAGCTTTGTCAAGCAAAATGCATAATAATATTAAACTTACCTTACCTAACCTTACTTTGACCCAAACTCTCTTTCCCTTCCCTCCTCTTCTGCCTAATTATACTATTCCCATTTCATTTTCCTCTTACAGTCAGCCTTTCCCTTTATTACTACTGTATGGCCCTCCACTCCTCCCATTCACTGACTTTGACTGGATTGTCGACTATCTACTACCTACCTTGCTACTACTATCTACCCTCCTTCCCACGTCACTGACACTGACTCTTACCCGATTTTCCTTTACAGTACTTTCCCGCTTGGAGGTGATCGTCTGAGCTTACTCTTATTCGCGAATACTCTTTTTATACTTAATCTATCCGACCTCTTCCTTGTCTACAAGCAATCAATTTTGTCCCTCCTTGTCCTTGCGCACATTATTCTCGGCCCCCAATCCCCCAATCGTGGCCTATCTACGGAGTATCTCCCAGAGAAAAACTTTATCATTCATACCACGCCCGTTCCAAGGCGCATCGCGTACCACAAACTGTGCAACACAGCTGCACCTCCCCTTTACCTCAAAAACACCCTGAAACTATTCGATCGCGTCCTTCTCAGTCAGTGAGGTTGTACCTTTCTGCAGGGGATAGTGAGTGGCCCGCGCTGCGAAACCGTGTGCTCATTTGCGCAACAGCGATCTAATTCCGATTGCAGTTCCGACTGAGCTGGGGTGTTGAATGGCACTTGAGGAGGCCAGCTTCTGTAACCAAAACCCGCTTCTTTTTCGACAGGCCCATGCCCATCGACAGCGGCCGCGAGAAAAAAGAAAGCAATTCGGCCACTAACGAGCTTTGGGTGACAAGGGAATTTGTCACTTTCATGCTTCAGCATTCATGCTAGGCCAGCTCCCTCCCTATTGAACCCACCACTATCATCTTTCCTTAGACCGATACACGCTGGTCGCAACACGCCTCGCTCTATCAGAGTTTCGAGATTTAAATGTATATTTTTTTAATCTCACGCGCTTTCCGCCGCCAAACTCTTTTCCTTTTTTCAGCCTATCACCTCAGCTCGACTTTTGGGGTGATTTAGTCCGATTACAGCCCGCTTTCAGCACGCGCCCCACGACTCTATTTCAGCCTTTGGGCAATCGGATCAGAGCCACTGATTTACATATTCCTGCGACCATCTGCACAACACCTAGGTAGTGAAACGCGTTCGCCCGTCTGCGGCCTGCTCATTTCCTTGAACCAGACGCCGTCACGTGTAACCCAGTAGCGAGTTCATGCATCCAATCATCAAAGCTTCTACTGCTCATACTTCATCTTGATTGATATTGGGATTACCTTGAAGTCTTCTTGTTATTGCAGATCCGTGATAAGCAATTGTTTGAACCATCGGGCCCACGATGGCCACAGGAGAAGATGTCTGGGACTCTCTCCCAGAGGGGGAGCAAAAGTCTGTCTGGGATGAGACAGAACGCAATTTCTGGGTTAACCTTCGCAGCAAGAAGGATGCAGAAAACAAAAAGATTGAGAAGGATTTCCAGCTCTCGATTAACGAAGTCAGATTGAAACTCAGTGACCTTACAGGACAGCGAAGTCAACTGAAAGAATCTCAATCCCGACTGGCTAGGGAACTCGCCAAAGTCGAGGCTGAACTGGCACGCACCACGGATGAGTGCGAGGAGAAGGCCAGTCGACTTGAGCGCATTGAGCAGGACTACCGCGCGTCACGCCAGAAGAGAACAGAAACACTCCATGATATTTGGTTCAAAATGCGTCGATTCTTTAGACAAAAAAGAGGAGAGGATCCTGATGCCCCAGACCATCTCGGACCCGAATCAGAAGGCATTGTTCTACCCGAAATGTTGCCAGAGGTATCCTCAGGCTTCAATGGAACGACCCCACAAGCAGAGCCTACTAATGGAACTGCAGTGGTAGCGGAGAGACCTGAAGAAGAAGAAGACGACGAGGATCGTATGGAAGGCGTTGAGCACCACGATAATAGGGGAGCTGAGAGCCTCGTTGATATTGTTGATGCTGATGGCAATGTGATTGGACCCGTGGAACAGATAGAGCCTTGGAACCAATGGGTTGAGGGTATCCAAGAATTGGAGATCCGAAGACCCGTCAAGATCCGCCGAGGACGACGCTTCAACACTACACATCTTGCAGGCATTTACGAGCGAACTGAGGCGAAGGGGGTCAAATGGCTCTCCTGTATGATTCAAGCGACCGGGGCGATACAGGCCAAGAGGTGCCTGTCTTGCGACAAGAACCAAGGTGCCTTTGACGACTGCATCATTGTCGGCGGGGATCTCTTTCAGAAGTGTGGCAACTGTGAATGGAATCGCCAGGGATGCCATGGTTCCTCAGGAGACACGATTGACATACTGGCATCGAGGGAGAGGGCACAACGGAAGAAGCAGCTGGAGGATGGAGCCCAAGAGACTTCTCCAGACCGATCCTCAGAAACAGTACATCAGACCGTTGAAGTTCAGCCGAGGTCTGAGCAAACAAGTCAACCAGAACCTCGGCGGGTCGATGAACAGATTTCTGTGCCCTATCGGCCACCTTCGCCAAAACCCACTTTACAAAACCCTGAGCTACCGTCTGAGAGACAAGTGGATAGACAAATTGAGAGACAACCCGAGCGACAATACCAAAGGCAACCCGAAAACCAGCCTGAACGACTAGTTGAGCCCCAACCTGCGTCACAAACTGAGCGTCAAGCAGCCTGGACCACTGCACCACAGCCAGAACGGCGCCCTGAACGCCAACCCGAGAAAGTTCCAGATCGACCTAATGAACGGTTCCATGATGTGATCGCTGCAAGGGCCCCAGAACGGACTGTCGAAGTAGCACCAATCCAAATCGCCGAACGCCCTCGTGAAATGTCTCACAGACCAGCCTATGGTGCTCCCCCTGGACCCTCAAGCCGACCGACAACGGCTCCCAGGTCAGATTATGCCCCGGAACGAATGATTGACCCCGTGGACTCGCCCTTACCGACACCAATATATCCTCAATCCAGGCCCCTGGAAACATCACGTTCTGTGCTTCCCTCAGGTGTTCTGCGCCGCAGTCCTCATGAAATCCTCCATCCCTCAACAGAGCTTGATGGCCCTGCCAGAGAATATCGCGGTTCTGATCCAGCTCATATTTCACGAGAGCCTGAGCAAATACACACTCCACAGGAGTATCGCGTGGCTGCTGGTTTTACGCCGGCCAATGTGAGAAGTCGACCTCCATCTAGTGATCGAGGAAGACCAACTCCACCATCTCTGTCCCTGGACCCTTCATCGCAGCCACCTGAATCTCCTCCTGCCCAACCACTGGAAGAGATTACCCGAGAGAACATGGTCCTCAAGAACGACGGAAATGTTTACACCTATCCTGAATGCGTCGCTGGGGTGCCATTGGTCAAGATTAATGAGGAACATCCCTATTGGGAGCCCAACTGGCCCAACGTCAAGACACTTATTGAACCACAGCTTGCTCGATGGCGTGAGAAACACCAGGCTGCCATTGAAGCAGGCCCGAAGCAGGATAAGGGTGGTTCCTCAAAGTATCAAATTGGCAGACAGGTCAACCGTGGTATCAAAATTCTCGAATTCCACGAAAACGGCCCAATCAGTCCCTATCAGTTATTGGGCAAAAAATACATCCAGGCCGGCAAAGGTGGCATAACGTCATACGACACTCTATTTCGCCTTTCAGAGACAATATCGGAGCTTGAAAAGTTCAACCTTGACATATCGCCAGTTGACTGGATGCGACAGCGACTTCACGAACTAATTCAAACGCAGGGACACAACTTCAACCTGCCGCGAACAATTCACGATTTCTATCATGACTCCAAGCTCACCAGTCTTCGGTACAAGCATGGATTCAAGAACATTGGACGTCCTTCAGGAGCCATGAAGGCGCGCTTGAGTCACGGCAGCCCTAGCAATACACCCAAACCTCTCCAAAAGCGGAAGTCTATGCACTCTGTTCCTACTACGCCTCGGGAGGATTCATTTATCAACCACTCTCCTCTTCCTGGCCAGGCACCACCAAGCTACCCAGCACCAGCGCCAGCACCAGCGCCGGTTCCTACCCCTGGGCCCCAGCCAGCATTCAGCACCCACCTCAACAAGAAGCCGAAATACATGCCCCCTACACATGGAAGCCCCGTACATGACGAATTTCACTTCGAGGCTTGGTCCGACACAGATTCATGCAGTGGAGGTAGCATCACTAAGTACGACTGGCGGCTTGCTGTAGTCAAGAATCGGTTGTATACCAGCCACATCAATGTCACTCAGTATTGGACCTGGGTTGGTCAGATACAATGTTTCCAACACCAAGTACTCAAAGATGTGAAGCCAGCGAAATGGGGCTTGTTTAGGGACGAGATTGATTTCCACGTCAACCTCACAGAGATTGAGGAGATGGAATGGAGTATCGAAGCACTTCGTGTTCACATCATTATGAAAAAGGATGCCGGAGAGCTTGCTGCGGATGGCAAGCCTCGAGGCGATGTCATGGCGTCTTTTCCAAGAGCACGTACAATGCGCCGCTTCCTGTTCTTCTGTCGAGAAAGGGGTATGAAAATGGCTAAGAGAGCCCCGTAAGTGAAGCCCCCGAGAACAATTGTGACAAGGTTGGGAACTGACCTGGATAATAGTGAGCAACTCAATAACATGTGGGATTCCATGGTTTCTGAACAATTGCCCGGTCGAGGCGATTCTAATCAACAGCTGGTGGAATAAATTTTGTTGACCGCAAGCTACCGTCTTCGAGGGACAAAGATAGCCCTATTCTATCTGCCCCCCTTTTAATCAGGATCTGACTTGTTTCATTCCTATCGTTTCTAGTATTTGTCTTTACTCATAGAGGATATCACTTCGCACCAAGCCAACACTGGACTTTGTGTGCTCACGGAAAGATTGTTTTTCTTGGCTCGGGGTTAAAGGATGGAAAAGAGAACTTGATGGGTGGAAAGGAAAAGCTGTTTATTAGAGAAGAGCTCTCTCATATTACATACTATACCTTGCATCGATTAGACTGAACAAATGGCCTCAATTTCCTTTTAATTCTTTCGTGGCCAATAGACCAAGTGTTTCGCAACGTGCCGCCGAAATCAGTGTAAGCACAAGCATTACACGATAGGGTTCATCTGCAGGAGAGATCGTGATACTTGTGGCAAATATCGTATTCTTCCTGAATCAAGCAGACCGTTTATACTGAACTCCGAACAGATTATGAAGTATATACATCCTTTTCTACATATTCATCCCTATCGTTTTCTCAATGTTCGCGTTGGTCCTGGCCCTATATTTTGCGTTGCTGTGGACGCTGCTGCCTTCACCTCGACACCACCGCTGCCCATCATGCGACTCATCAGAGCAGCTCGACACTCCTTCGCCTTATCGTCGCGATATTCCAACTGCGTTGCTGGGGGCTCGGATTCTTGGTTTTCTGGATCTTTGTCCTCATCGCCAAATACGTCGTGGAGCTCAGCCGCCGAGCGCGAGGCAACACTACTGGCATTGGAGGCATTGCTGATGGCACGGCCGAATAGCTGACGCTTGCGAGGTCTCGGAGCTGGCTGTTCGGTTTCATCGGAGGCGAAGGAGGGGAGATTTGGTGTTGTGGTCTCTATGAGTGAGGTGAGTTTTGAAGAGAGGGCCTGGCGCTCTGCGGCTTTAGCGCGAAGACGAGCTTGCTCTGCGTTTTCCTGTTGTTTTGCTTGCTTTATATTTTCTTGTGGAGTTGGAAGATTGTCTGTTGTTTCCTCAGTGCGAGAAGTTGTAGTATTAGCATTGCTCGTGGGATCAGAGCGAGTACGAGGCAATGCGGTGTGTTTGGTGGGCGATGGAGATCTGTTTAGACGTGCTTGAGGAACCTCAGCAAGAGGTGAGTCAAAGTCTTTGTCCTTAGGGAGAGTATTGGTTGTTGTTTGGTGAGTGCGTGCTGTCACAAAGTCTGGTGAGATGACCGAGGCAGGTTTGGCAGTCATTTTTCGAGAGACCTTTTCAGGTGAATCATGATCAAATGCCGAGGTATCGACGCCAGCGCCGTGTGGAGGTTTCGTGATATGACTTTTAGTTGACTTGGACACCGGTTCTGAGCGAGTGCGCTGCATGGACTTCTCACGCAATCGTGTCTCAGGGGCGGTTCTAGAGGTTGGTTTAAGTTCAGGCTGAGATGTATCCGAGTATCGTTCTTTAATCTCAGGAAATATGTAATCGTCGAGAGGGACCTTGAAGCCTGTACGGATACATTCCCAGAACCAATCTGCTGAAACAACAGGAATGCTCCATTTAAGAGCCACGCGCAACTTCTCCTTGCGCATAGAAGTGATGTCCTTGCAAACCAGGACGCTTGTAGTTTTACGAAACTCTCCATCAAACTTAGCTCCTAGCTGAACAGCGGCTCTAGCAACTTGATTGAGCTCGATTCCTGTGAAAGCAGCACTGCATATGATAAGATCTGAAAACGCTGGTATGGGGAAGAAGGTGAAGGGTCGACCGAGGACATGTTCTCCGGGATCAAAGTATTGCTTGTTGTGAAGGCACTTTTCGATATAGTATTCTGTTACAACATGGAGGTTATCGTAAGTTTCCTGAGGGTGAGTGTCAGGCTGAGATGTCTGAGGAACAATCAGAAACCGGCTGCGGGGTGGCTTTGGAGTTCTTCCCAGAGCGGCTTCATGCAATGAAGAGCAGATAGTTGCCCCGAGGGTGACGAGCGTTTGCTCTAGGACGGAGGTTCTTTGTGCGTTGAATCCATGTATGTAAAAGAAACAGTTCCCAAAAATGCCCTGATCTTCTTCTGGGACTACAGGAGCTGGTGGCTCCGGCTGAGCTTCTGCACGCTGTGGCTGTTGGACCTGAGCCTGGTTTCCGTCTTCCTTGTTTTCCTGAGCGAAGGAATAATCTCTTGACGTTGATCGACCGAGAATATCGCCCCAGATGTTATTACGCTGTGAACCGAGCTTCATGCTGGCAGTCTTCCTGAGCTTCCTAGGGCCCTCCTCAGCGCCACCTGCAATGGCAGACTTGGATCGCTTACTCATTGTACGTTTCAGTTCTCTTGTAACCCATGCGCCCTTCCCTTGCTCCTCGGGAGGTAATGTCGGGTCAAATTTGGCTTCTTCCAGGATCATCCTTCGAGAGATAGATTGTTCAAGCCAGGCGAGGGTGACTGGGTGAATGCCCCATGCTCTGGCTGCAGTATATTTCTTGCCTTCTGGTTTGTTGACGATTAGGTGTGTGCACCGTCTCGTCAAGTCGCCTGTATATAAGCCTCCATTCGATGTGATTTTATTTGCAATTTCGTCCCTCTGGTCGCCGAAACCAGTCAGACAAATCAGCAGTGAATCTCTTGCTGGCTCTCCTCGTTGTGGCTGGACTGTAGGATCGATGCCTCGCTTCTCTAGGGGTTTCAGTTGGTGCTTATTCTCGAGCTGCCGATAGTCGATCTCTTCGTCGTTCTTCCATATCTCGCTAAGTTCCTCGATCCAGGCGGCATCCATTGCCTTGATATCGGGGCGTTCACGAGCGACATGGCGATATTTGGGTGTGTCGTAGTCACCAACAATAAGATGGGTTACGTCGGGTGTGAGATCGTATTTATGAATACCACCAAGCTCGGCAACTTTGGAAGCGATGCTGGTCTAGGCATCATGGGTCAGTAAACAGGACTCATGATGATGACTGACGAGTCTGAACGGTACTTACACGATGCTCAGCAGGAATACTTGTACAGCAGACGACCATGCCCTTGAGAGGTTCTGCTGGATCTATTTGTATGTCTTCCTCTTCGTTCGTATGAGGTGAGGCCATCTTCAGTCCCTTTTGTCTGGCGGTTGCTGTGGTGTTGCAACTTGGACCGTCGGAGCTTGTGATTTTAATCGATATCAATCTTTTTGGGAACGCGTCGTGAACCAAAACCGCGTCAAGTGCTTAGACTGGGCCCAGACGTCATGACACAGGCGGGGGCTCTCACTATATGGATATGTGCACTATACATATCCACTGTAAGTCGCTGAAACTAGAGCTAAAAGAGATAAAATACAGTGCGGAACCACCAACGCCCATCATAGATGGATGACAACTTCATCTCTACTGGAATACTTAAAAGATAGAATCATCTGAATTTGGCACGAGATTTTCTGTTAATTAGAAATTTCAACTCAAGTGCTATACAAGGTAGTTCGTAGACTCACGTGCGAAATAACCCTTCCAGAACTCAATCGAACTATAACTCGACTACTGGCTCAGAGCCGATAATCGGATTTTAGGGGTTTTTATGCTCATCATTCACGAAACTCCAAAGAAAAATTGAATAGATAATTCGAGGTGTATTATGAACGTTATTTTTTACAGTCAGAATTTCTTTATCACAAGTGTGATCCAACCAAGGGATCAAAGACATCTCATATCATACCTAGGTACCTATATAAGTGAATAACGGATACACCCGTAAGGCATCTACAGCCAAGCCCCGCTCGTCACCTAAACTTCAACCCCACCATCAGCTAAGATCACAGCCTTGTCGCGAAGTGAAAGCTCAACCCCTCCATCTACACTTCTTCTTCGTCTCCAACAACAACTTTCCGCCTTCCCTCTCGAACTGAACTCGATCGCAGCGGCGCATCTTCCGCATGGGGAACTCCTTCCGATAAACGCTCCCTCATCCTCCTACCCTCACTCTGCGCCATCTTACCACGACCGAACCAAGCATCTTCACCGTTCGATCACCACTAGGAGCCTAACCCCGAGCATCCTCCGTGGAACAGTTCGACCCTGCCGGCCGACGCTCGAGTATCCCAACAACCCGCTTGACGACTCGATTTCCATATCCTTAGAGAGCCTTGCCAACTAGCCACAAATCCAAAGCCGTCAAGATGCCTCCACCATCCGCTGCCCAGCAGAAGGTTCTCATCGCCCAGTTCGTAGCTCTGACTGGTCAATCAGAGCGACAGGCTACCCGTGTACGTATTTTCCGTGTTCACCTTCCTTACCTATGCCGATCATCGCGAACCAAGCTGGTCCTTGACACGGATAAACCTCATGACAACCTACTGCTCTACACGGCATGGCTTGGGCTATGGGTGCATCGGCCTGTGTTTCAGCGGCGCCTATTTAGCCAGGAGTTGTATCATCATGATTGTACGGCATTGCGTTGCTAACATCCACTTTAATAGTACCTCAAGAATGCCGGGTTCAAGCTCAACGAAGCTGTCGATACGTAAGTTACTGCCGTCTTTTTCTATTCTTTATGCTTGTCATGATACACGTCGCCTATGTCCACTGGTACAATGCTCCCTGCTACATCCGGATACGGATATGTCTATATTGAGCAGCTTCCGACTATTGTTTGCCCATTGTATCCATCCTGTCACTGTCGCCTGGCCCACTATTGCCCGTCTCATTTGCAAAGTATGACCGACAAAGACGCCGATAGTCTTAGACAAGGTTACTTGTAGATCTGGTGCTATTGAGGGGTCTTGAATACGTTACCTTCAGGCCATGTGGTGCTTATGCTTCTATCAAATTCCCAGATGAGAACCATGGGAATCTTGAAGTTGTTGGCACCCATGATAGGGCTTGTACAGATGCCTCTTACGTTGTTACAAAACTTTCAACCCCTCCTATTCTTCAGAGCCCTTGCCCATTCGGCGCTTTGTGACCTTAATATAGTCACTCAAGCACAGTCCGGCCAGCTAAGAAGATGGGATGGAAAAGTTTCAAGAAGCGCATCAAGACCGGGGTTCCTATCTTATCCTCTACCAAGGAGGCCGGCAAAGATACCCCTCGACCGTCTCATCAGACGGAATCTGAACAAACACGAACGGATTCGAAATCTCGGTATATCACCTTGGTGTCCAATAGTTGTGTTTGTGTTGGCTGAGATGGCCACAGCAGCACGCATAGTTATTGTTGGCCATTGCACTGGCCCTTTGCTCAGAACCCTTCGCTATTTCAACAATACCTTGCGATATCGACTGACATATATCGAATAGGTTCTTTTCATCCAATGGAGACACTAAAGGCCCATCGCCTCTGGAAGTATCGCTAGACAAGCTATTTACTCAACTGCAAGGTATTTTGGTCCTCCAGTTCGTCAAGTTCACTAGCTTATATCTTCAACTAGACTCTAGCGATGAAAAAGACAAACTGGAGCTCGACTCTACAATGTCATACCTCACTGAGAAGCTGCAAGTCAACATCGAAAACGCTGAGCTACTTGTTGCGCTTGAACTTCTCCAGGCTCCATCTGTGGGCGTCATTACCAGAAAAGGTTACGTTGATGGCTGGAAAGTGACTGGGTAAGATTGCACTCAAGCCTGTTATTGACGCCGAATGCAATATATGGGCAGACTCCTTTGTGAATTCATTGCTGATTTGGTACAGAGCTGGAACGACACATCAAGAGCATGCCGCCCATCTCCGGAAACTGACCAAATCCCTCTCTTCTGACCCGACGCTATTCAAGAAGGTTTATAGACATACCTTTGTTGCTGGTCGAGATGGCGACCAGAAAGCACTGAACGTTGAGACTGCGGTCGTTTACTGGGATATCCTATTTGCCCCTCCGGGAATGGAGTGGAAGACACCAAACCGCAACTGGCTGGAATTGTGGAAGTCCTTCCTCAATGCCAAATGGACTCGTTCGGTCAACAAAGACATGTGGAACATGACACTCGAGTTTGCCCTCAAGTCTTTATCTGACGAGTCACTATCATTTTGGAATGAGGATGGCGCCTGGCCAAGTGTGATTGACGATTTTGTGGATTGGTGTCGTGAGCAAGGCATTGGTAAGGCCGATGGCATGGACGTTGACAACTAGGGAAGCGGCACACACATTGGCTCATAACACGAAACGGAGCCCATGGAAGACATGGGCTCCTACAACTCCGATTCCAATATCCACATGCCACTGTATACAGGCAGGGTACATCGTTTAGGCGCCAACCGAACGCATGGGAAGCGGGTCGCGTTTCGAGAAGGACGGCGTTAACCAAGAGCACCCGGACCATCGGTGTGGTTGTAATTGATGACTTATGATAGACATGCAGTAACAGAATAGAACAGCTTCATGTTACCAGTCCTTCTGTGTGATTTTGTGTCTTGAACCCTCGATGAGATTCGTCCACCTATTAGGTCCTCGAAAACGTGACAAGTACATAATGAGACGAATAATAGTTTGGAGCTTTATAATATTTCATACAACCATGGCCACTGTCTTTAGACGCAGCGTCTTTTTTGTACACAGCATCGTGTGATGCCTGAGCATAGGGCCGAGTCTTTTCTCGGACTCTGACACCCACACTCTCATTTGAGAATCGTCCATGTATCCTACAAGAAGATTTCCTGCTCCTTCGTTGTCGGTATTAAAGCCGTTTGTCATCCATTTATATCTTCAAATCTTTCCTTCTCCCCTATGCCTCACTGCCAGTCGTCTTCCACTTGGGTGGTCCAAATCTAGCTAATGACTCAAGCTTTCCGTCTCCGAGCTTGACATGTGCGGCGCGAATCATACGGGGCTCAAGGCGCAATGTGTTTCGTACGTCTTGGTGAACCTTTGAGGCAGCATCGTATCGCATGACGAAGTAATGGCCGTGTGTGTGCTTCATCTGATGCACTGAGATAGGCTTCGGTAGGGAGAAGACACCCCAGTTGGCGAGACCGCGGACGACACCGCCATTCTTGAGGACGAGGGAACCGACGGTTTGGGCGATTCTGCGTTGGTTAGCTAGGATCGGTGGATGATTCGATGTGAGGAACGCACTCCTTCACCTCGGAGAGGCTGCCCGGTCGGACCTAATTTCGGTTAGCTCGAATACATGTGCAGAGAAGGAAGGGGCTCGTACAATTGCGATTAATTCGTAGAGCATCTTGGTGATGACATCTACAGAAAGAATGATGTTGTCGCGGAATATTTCGATGTCGTCCAAGCTGGCTGAATTTCTGGCGGATCTCGAATTTTGGGCTCCGAGGATTAGCCATTTCGACAGCGGGAGCTCATGGCATGTGGGGGGCATTTAGATAGGTAGGTATCTGTTCAACAACACAATGCATTCACTGTTGGATTATGGTCGATTTCATCGTCATTCATAATATTCTAAACACGATGCCTTCTATGTTACAGGCTTTTCGATATAGTACAGTCGAGGCAGATCTCGAGATTGGTGGTTTTACATATTAGATTCGCTCCTTAGACAGGGCCTGCCAGATACTCCACGGCAGTTTCCAGCCAGCTGTCTTGACAGCGAATGGGTTGAAATTTGCTTGCTCTAGACGTTGCAAGTACTGTGCCGAAGGGATAGCTTCAAGAAGCACTCCAAATCCCTGTCGGATCTCTCTCAATGTGTCGTTCCCCTCGGTATAGAAATGCTCAGCTTCTCCCTGATGCTCGAATTCGTGACCTGGATCCTCTCCTGCCTTGAGCCGCTTGAGCATCTCTCGGGCCGTGATGAGGTGGTCATTGGCTCGTGTCGCGACCTGGAATACAGCATCTTGAAGTCCGGGTGCATTGGGTCCTTGCCTAAAGACCTCCTCTTCTTTAACACCTGCTTCAGCCATGGCATCCAATGGTAGAAGAAGCGCAGGCTCCCGCACAGCTGGAACCTGACCAGAAGGTGTATTTACTGGAGGGGGAGGTGCCGCCAGAATAGGGATACCACGCAGGACCGCAGCGATACCGCAGGCCTTTCCGATATGACTTGCGAGATGGTCGACATGCATTGATCTCAGTGGAAGTGATGCCAATGTCGTGTACATGAGAGTCGAATATGTATTCTCAGCATACTCCTCCAAGCTCGCCAAATTAGCAAAAGGCCTGTTTGTCATATGCTTTTCTCTGGTTTTTATTAATCTTGAGATCCAAAATTTTATGGATTTCTTGGTAGAATTGCCATCACGGGCCTCCAGATCTTGTAGGCCTTTGTGAAGGAGGATGCAAATGGGTTCGCGAGGGGGACGACCCGCGAAAGTGTTGTCAATGGATTCTTGCCAGAACTTCATTCGGAAGGATCCAATCGTAGGGTTAGAAACGAGCTCAGGGAGGCGAACGAGCTCAAGGTTGAGGGTACGGAGAGCAGCGTAGGTGTCTTGTACTGGAGAGGGGACAAAGCGGCGAATGAGATGAGCATCATAGTCGCTATTTCTGAGAGCTGTCAGAGTAGATCCTTGAATTTTACGATTGAGCTTACTGTAATTGTGTCAAGCAGTATCTTCTCGCAGATTCAACATCAGCATCTGTGATATATGTTCGACGACATGTTCGGGCTTGGGTGAAGCCCCGAAGGCTCTGGCCCAATATTCTTGGGCGATACATTGTAGAATGATGAGTCCTCAACGATTGTTAAAGTACAATTGTGTTTCAAACCCTGTTATCATCTCAATAACAATGCAATTGATCGTGATACAGTGAACATGACGGTCGTACGACTTAGACACGGCCACCCATAGACGTCGGATTTCCAATCGCCTTCAGTGAATTTTTCATGACGTCGAGCTCTACCGCGCCACAGAATCAGCCACATCAATTAACACGAAATGACGAGATGGAAGGAACCACTTAAACACGGGATCAGGTGACACTTCCACGCGCAGTCGCGCCTGCAGGGGTTTGTCGCGTCTCCCAGAAAGTCCAGCTCCGACCTGAAAGAGCTCATTTGGGGGGCTTCAACATTTTTGGCCAAACGCTCTATGAGAAAAGGTCTTTAGTCATGACACTTTCTTACCAACCAAAGCGCCCTGATGATCATTTAGATCCAGAACCTCCCGCGAAAAGAAGAAGGTTTTTTGCAGACCCAGACGAACTTTCTTCAGACCCTGTCTCTCATGACCATTCCCCACTACCGCAACCGAAACGGTTCTTTAAAGATGCAGACGATATCGAGGAAGAAGATGAATACAAAGATGATTTAGACGAAATACACGACGACGATATCCCTGTAACGTCTCCGTCGCGGCCACCGACGCTCCAACAGGAGTCGTCTGTCTCCTTTGATCAAGAGACATTCGAGGCTTTCGTCGGTGACAAGGTCTCTACTGACGTTCTCTCGGCCATAAGAGACCACTGCGGAAACGACCTCGAACGAGCGGTTAATATGTACTTTGATGGAACATACAAGAAATTTGTAAAGAAGCCATCATGGAAAGCACCCTTAAGGCCTGCCCCTACCGCCAGCTCCAGTCGGTCGCCAAGCGCCCCCAACGAACGCATACCAAGTATCAAGACAAGCCAAAGAATGCCGAAACAACGATACATAGGAGCGTTTGGTGTTGAAGGATGGGCTACAAGAAGCGGAGTTAACGTGTTGAAGCACGGCGATATCGTGAAAATCGAGCGACAAAAGTTACAGCCACCCCAATCTGTCAGAGGGAAGGGGAAAATCGGACAAGTTACACCTTCACGAGGATTTGCCGCCGCTGCTGCGAGGCGAGTCGATGTTATCGTGCGCTTCACCACTCAAAACGGATCAGAAGTTGGGCGGCTAGCGAAGGAGACAGCGAATTGGGTTTCGGCTCTAATCGACGAAAAGGTGTGCAAATTCGAAGGAACTGTGGTCTACGCCCCTGAGAGACTCCGAACGAACGACACGATTTTCCTACAATTGCGATGCTCATTGCTTGACTCTGCCTTTTTCAACCGCTCATTCAAACTCGCCGACGACCGATCGACTGCTTTCTTCGAGCAAAACGAGACAAACGATGAGAAAACGCTTCGACTGCGACAAGTCGCTCTGGTCAAATTGTTTCAAGAGATCAATTTACAGCCCACTATGTCGAATGATGCTGCCAAAGATGGCCGCAAGGGGCTACTCCAAGCTGCCGAGCAAGACGAACAGAAGCAAAAGGAGGCGAAGAAGGCCAATGGGGATACGAATGGAACCGGCAAAGAAGCGGGCTCGTCCCAGTCATCAGAGACTGAGGAAGGAGAAGAGCTGGAACAGGATCAGCTCGATGCGCTTTACAAGAAGGCCCAGTCCTTCGATTTCAGCACCCCAGAAGCCGAGCCAGCAGATACCTTTGCCATGACACTGCGGTCATACCAGAAACAAGCGCTGCACTGGATGATGGCAAAAGAGAAGGACGAGAAAAGCAACCGGGAGCCATCCATGCACCCTCTTTGGGAGGAGTACGATTGGCCATTGAAAGATGTCGATGATAAAAACGTACCTCAGGTCGAGGGGCAGCCGAAGTTCTACGTTAATCCGTACTCTGGCGACTTGTCCCTTGACTTCCCAATTCAAGAACAACATTGTCTGGGTGGTATTCTTGCCGACGAAATGGGTCTTGGCAAGACCATCCAAATGCTAAGCTTGGTGCATACGCACAGATCCGAGATCGCACTTGAAGCTCGCCGAGCAGCTGTTGAGCTCTCTAGCGTGAATCAGCTTACTAGACTGGGCAAGAACTCAGAATCGGTGCTTGATGCGCCATGCACAACGTTGGTGGTTGCACCCATGTCGCTACTGTCGCAATGGCAAAGTGAAGCGGTGAAGGCTTCCAAGGACGGAACGATGAAGATTGAGTTATACTACGGCAACGAGAAGTCGAGTAATCTGCAGGCACTCTGCTGTGCTTCCAATGCGTCCAACGCTCCGGACCTGGTGATTACCAGTTATGGAGTTGTTCTATCCGAATTCAGTAGCATAGCTGCCAGAAAAGGAGACAAGAGCTTTCACAATGGGCTCTTCTCCCTGAAGTTCTTCCGCATTATTATCGACGAGGCACACCATATCAAGAACAGATCATCCAAGACTGCAAAGGCTTGCTATGAAATATCCGCCTACCATAGATGGGCTCTGACAGGAACCCCCATCGTCAACAAACTAGAAGATTTGTTTAGTCTTGTCAGATTCCTAGGCGTGGAGCCTTGGAACAACTTTTCGTTCTGGCGAACATTTATTACTGTGCCGTTCGAATCGGGAGACTTCATGCGGGCCTTGGATGTTGTGCAAACAGTGCTAGAGCCTCTCGTCTTACGACGTACAAAGGACATGAAAACGCCCGACGGCAAACCGCTTGTGCTCCTACCACCTAAGCAAGTCGAAATTGTCGATGTGGAGCTGTCGGAAACGGAACGAGATGTGTATAGTTACATCTTCAACAAAGCGAAACGAACTTTTTCGCAGAACGTTGAAGCGGGTACTGTCATGAAAGCCTTTACCACCATCTTCGCACAGATCCTGCGTCTTCGCCAATCTTGCTGTCATCCCATTCTCGTCCGCAATCGTGATCTTGTGGCAGATGAAGAAGAAGCCGGAGCTGCTGCTGATGCGGCTGCTGGACTGGCAGATGATATGGACCTTGAGTCGCTCATCACTTCTTTCACGGCAGAGACAGATGAGGCTTCGAAGGAGACTAACCAGACCTTCGGTGCTCACGCCTTGGAACAAATACGTGATGAGGCTGAGAATGAATGCCCTCTATGTTTTGAAGAGCCGATGAATGATCAGGCCGTGACTGGGTGTTGGCACTCTGCATGTAAAAAGTGCTTGCTTGATTATATCAAGCATCAGGTTGGTAAGGGCGAAGTACCTCGATGTTTCAGTTGTCGTGAGCCGATCAACCAACGTGACCTGTTTGAGGTCATTCGACACGATGATGATCCTGATATGATGATGTCGAAGAAGCCCAAGATCAGCCTGCAACGGGTTGGTGTCAATGCTTCTTCAGCAAAGGTTGTTGCACTGATGTCTGAGTTGCGGAAGCTGAGACGGGAACATCCCAAGATGAAGTCTGTGGTGTTCTCTCAGTTCACGTCTTTTCTCAGCCTTATCGAGCCAGCCCTCACCCGTGCGAACATCAAATTCCTGCGACTTGACGGATCTATGGCCCAAAAAGCTCGAGCGGCTGTACTTGACGAGTTTACCGAGAGAAAAGGGTTCACGATCCTGTTGCTAAGTTTGCGTGCAGGAGGTGTCGGGTTGAATCTGACGAGCGCTGGCCGAGTATTCATGATGGATCCCTGGTGGAGTTTTGCGGTCGAGGCTCAGGCCATCGATCGAGTACACAGAATGGGACAAGAGTCGGAAGTACAAGTCAAGAGATTTGTGGTCAAGGAAAGTGTGGAGGAGAGGATGCTAAAGGTCCAGGAGCGGAAGAAGTTCATGTGAGTCTTACTGATGGAGAGAGTATCAGGGCGCAGCTAACATTTGAAACAGTGCAACTTCTTTGGGCATGATGAGCGATGAAGAGAAAAAGCTCCAACGTATCGAAGATATCAAGGAGCTATTGAGCTAGAAGGAGCGCATATATCTGCTGCATGCATTGCTTGGTTTGTTTGTTTCTGCAAGTTTCTCATTGCTAGACATGATGGCTGTGGCATGAATGCATTTGCAAGGCGTCTGGGACATGAATGGGATACGTACAATAGTATAGAGGGCATGAAAATAGCAGGCAGCCTGTTTGACAAGATAGATAGTCTAGGTCGTGGCGAGACCTCAAGGAGTTTGGCTGGCTGGGTTCCAAATTGAGATCAGAGAACACCAGCATCTGATGAACAAGCCTGACATGAAGTTTCAATCACGATAGTTTAGGCATTTAAAAATACATGAAACTTAATCATCTCTTCTAGTCAGGTCTTTATATTTTGAGGGACAAGACGATCATTTGGTACTGAATTCTGGTCATGGCCATGTCTCAGCGCGGTCATGTTCCTGTATTGCCGCAAGAGGCGCGTGACCAAAGGCTCATAAATGTATCATCTTCAGTCTCAACCATCACGAACCTGACGCGACTCACCTGACTTGGTACCTCATGGGTACATACAAAATCACTATAAGATTCAGCTTTGACATGTTTAAATAGTTGAGTTTCCGCCGGGTGGCTGCTGTCACTATGGCAGTCTTGTGTCACAGAGTATACATCCTTATATAGGCGACTGCATATCCGCTACACAAGTCGTTCGCCTGGTTATTCTGCACTTGCTCTCTATCATTTAGTCTCTCTGTTAGCGTTCTTTTAGCATATTTACAACCTGGATAACCCTTCGTCAAGGTCTGGAGAAGTAGTCGAGGGACAAAGCAACGACGTTGCTGCAGCTCACGACTCGATCTCTCAAAAGGACCCAGAGATCAAACAAGAGTTTGAGGACAAGCTAGAAGAGACACAAGTTGGTGAGGTTGAAGCCGATACAAAATCTGTACCCAAGGACAATCTTAAAGACCAAGACGACGAATACGATAGCGACGACGAGCATCATCTTTGCTCCATACTTCTCTACTTTATATCAAAGACTCTTCTGAACCATCTCAGAGACGAATCTGAAGACATACCAATGGACCGCTTTGCCGAACAGTTATTTGGTCGCCAGGACCAGTCTTCACGTTCTCGACCTCCTGAGGATCCCAGCTTCATGGAGACATTCGCAAAGAACTTGGCCAAATCCGCCGCCAAGTCTGCCGCCAGAAAAGCCATGGGTCAATCATCCTCTGAGAAGCGAACTCGAGATGGCACACGAAGCGGAAACCAGATCAACCCTGAAGATTTCCGTGGTGTAGCTGAGTTCGTTCTCGGTATGCTTGGCGGGAAGAATGAACAGTCTCGAAGAGACGACGATCGTAAGAAGGATAAGAAGAGGAAGAGAGATAAGGATAAGGATAGGAGCAGAGAGGCACCGAGGAGTAGATACGTTGAAGATGACGGTGATAAGTATGGATCTGATAAAGAACGTCGAAAGAGACGTCGCCACCGCGTTACCTTTGCAGAACCATACTACGAATCTCCTCGTCCAGAAGAGACTTACTATGCTCAACCCTACGAGCCTCGTCGCGACGAAGACAAAGAAGAGCGCCGCCGCCGTCGTCGTCAACGTCGATACAAGCGCGACCTAGATCTCAAGACCCTCAAGACAGAGTTGGAGGCCATGTCGAGCACTATAATCTCTTTGAACGCAAGAGGCGCCAAACATCGAGACTGTGAGTTTTACGATCGCTTTGTGAGAAAGGGCGGGAGGTTGCAGGATGTCATTGGGAGCACGTTGGGACAGATCAGGGGGGTCATGGAGGGTGAGGTTGAGGCTGAGGAGAGAAGACGACGGAGAGACCGGAGGAGGGAGATGCGATGATGTTCATTGGTGCAAGGTTGAGGGTTTGTTATTTTTATTGTTGTGTCTTTGCAAACGTGCTAGGCAATCTTCTAGAATTCATATGTGTTACGGCAAAGAATGTTGTCAAGTTTGATGGACTGCATGAGGAATCGGTGCCTTGCAGATGTTTGATAGGGTGCTTGCTTGCATGTACATATAGACTAGGGAGCCATTGGCATTTGTAGGGATGAAAGAAAGAAATCAGTCATTGATTGTGAGTTTCAACTGGCGAGGTATGATGATGGATATGATATGTTGCTGAAATTGCGAAAGCAGGTTATTCCCTAGGTATATAGATCTGTAATCGCTCTCTTTCGCTCTATAGATAATGTGCTGTCTTTGCCATTTTCCTAGACATTATCTCACTCACGATGCCTTCCATCAGTCTCACTAATAATTCAACACTTCACATTGACCTGGCACCATACATCACAACAGAAACACACACTACAAAGCCAACGACTCAAGGTTATAATCACACTCACGACTGTAGACCTCTCCTATCGAGAGCCTTTCATAAGCTTCATCGTCGAGACACAGCTCCGGAAATCATAGGGATAGTCGTCGGTTTAACTCTCCTCGCTGCTGTTATCGGAGTCGGTTTATTTGTATGGAATTGGAACATCTTCAAGCAGCTCAGGACTAGCAACAACCAGAGACGCCATCATCGTCGCCGTTCACACCGTCGACGCCATATCATAGGACATTTCAACGCAAGTGTCGAAGATGGTTCTGAAGATATCGAGCTTGAGTGTCGTGAGCGACATCACCGCCGCCATGGAGTGCATCATCACCCCAACTGCCGACATCACAGGCTTCACCACGGACGACGACATCATCGTTCAGGCCCTCGAAGACCAGAACCGATATTTCAGATCCCAAACCCCTGTCATCTACATCCATTCCATCCACCGAATGAGATGGACGCACCTCAGATACATGATGGACTGAACAATCCTTTCTTGTTTGGACATCATTGGCATAGACGGGCTAGGGATGTTGTTTCTGTTTGTTAGATCACTGCACATGAAGAGGAATAGACTGTATGATATACTAGGGAGAGACACTATTGAAGCTTATGAATATCTCAAAGACGGGCTGATAGAATACAAATGATACGATACATGAATCCAACTACACAAACATGATGCCCTGGGACTCTACTTTTGGAAGTCAAAGAACGAAGCACTAATACACTCAAAGGATATACATGAAATAGAGAAATCTAAACTTGCGTTAGACTCGTTCTCGAATATATAAAAGTATAGGGACAGTAATTACTTACCAAAAGACAGAACTACTCCCCCTACTACCCATCTGCCGGTTTATCAGGCGGAGGCGGAGGTGCATCATCCGCAGGAGCAGCACTCCTATCGGAATGTCTCGAGCCTCCACTACTCATCGATTTCTGCCTCCTATGATGATGATGGTGGTGGTGTTGGTGATGATGCTTGCGATGTTTCTTCTTCCTAAAAGTAAAGCGTGCAGATCTGTAGTAGAAGTACAAAAAGGTGATGACAATAGCCAGGAACGCAGCAAGGGTAAAGCCCACAATGAGTCCAATCTTGATGTTGTTATTCGTAGTTGGGTTATCAGAGAATTGTCTCCTTATAAGAAGAGTGGGATATGGATATGGGCTAATATGACTGAAGGGCTTCGTGAGTGGATGAGGAGGAATGGCTGGGGATCCATGGCGTCGGACAGCCTGCAGATGAGGCGAGGATATAGGGATATACATCAAATCTCACAGGTTTCAGACAAACAGAGTCAATAAAAGCATTGATATAAAAGTGCAAAAACGGGAGGGAGGCGTCCAACGACACCGGAATCAACAAAACATGATGCAGGACAAAGATATACTTATCTCTCTGGGGGTGAGGCCTGAAGAGAGAGCGAGAGAGAGAGAAGGGTATTTAAGTTTACGTCTACGATAACGGGATCAGGCAGAAATTGTGTGTGTAACTATGGCAGGTAGTTGAACATGGATGGTGTGAGAGGGGAGAGAGGTTTCTTTGAGGAACGACATGACATGAAGGAGGGATGCATGCATGTAGGCGCTGCAGCCCGACGAGTGCAGTGAGAGTAAGACCAAGACGTGCGTGCATTCATGTCCCAATCAATGGATTCCGAGGCGAGGTTTGTGCGGCGATGGTTACTGTTATGGTTGATCTTGCGGAGGGTGAGAATGCTGTGCGATGTGAGTTGGTTGAGGTAGATGTGTGTACTGTAGTGAGAATAGATAATTGTATCCATGATATGATGTGATTTGATGTGAGGCTGTCGAGATGTTTACTTGATGTGATATTAGACATATTGTGCTTGATCTAAGCAACAGAAAGGCTGAAACATGTACATGACTATAACAAGTTGAAGATGAAGATGAAGAATGAAGGAATGAAGAGAGGAACAAGAGACATCTGCCGTGGCTTCAATGCCAACGCATCAATCGACCATTTGAGGCATTCGATCAACGTCTCGTTACCAATCGTACGACACCATTCAACGACGCATGCACGTTGTATCGCTAAACAAGATACCAATTGGGGATCCGAATGTAACCTGATATCAACCAAGTACTTACTATATGTACCAAGAACCTGGACAAGTACATCACGTCACTCTGTCCATCCCATCCCATCCCATCCGTAGTCTAGAGCTGAAGCCATAGCCAAAGAAGGGTCATGGCGCATGATGATCATATTTGCTTTTTCCTGAGGCTCAACTAACATCAGCATAACCTCCAATATCATCCTGCACTAGCTCGTTATTTTCTTTCCTTTTTTTCCCCTCTCTTCTCTTCTCTCTCTGATCCAAAAGTTGAGCGTTTTTTCTACTTACCTACCCCTGTCAAACCCCCCATGACAGTATTCAGGGGATGGAAACCGCCTCACTTACACGACAGACAGGGCCATGACTCGGCTGAGCGGATCATCATGAGCACTTGACAAAGAGTTAACCATACTATCAGATTCGCTTATTGTTAGCTAACTTAGTCTACAGCGGTAGACATGTCCCTATCGGCACTAATCCGTGTATTCCGGGCATAGTCTCTGCCCTATTCAGTAGCTGATCAACAGAGGGGAAATGACCCCAAGTTTGTGTCCAAGAAGGCTGAGGATGTATTGACCACCTGTTCGTTGGCAAACATGATGCAGCGGATAGATACATGCATTTACGATGCCCTACAGTACCCAAATGCTGATCAACACGACCAGAAATCGACGGCTCATCAGTACCAGAATCATAAGACTCGTTTAAACTGAACCCCCCGCTTAATTGTCGACCGTACAGGTAGTATTGGGGCACTATATACGAGTCAAAGCGCAATTCCCACCTCTGCTCTCCTCACTTTCAGTTCAGTTCAGTCCAGGTCCTGGTCCAGGTCCAGATTGCCGAGAAGCACGCATTGCATTACCTGACCAGACCTGTAAAGTTTATTCAAGCAAGCCCCCTCCATAGACTATTCAATCATAAAAAGACTCCTTCTTCCTCTCAGCCCAGCTCAGCTCAGCTCAGCTCACTCTCTCTATAAATCATCAATCTTCAACATATCAGCTCCACACGTGGTTCTGTGGCTTGCTATAACCCCCACGTGTTATCATCAACCTCTTGTATCGCGTGTTGATCACTACGATATACAAATACTACCCGGTATAACCATAACCATAAGGGTGTTCACCTTTATGGTTACTCACCCATCACTCGCTCTATCATGAAACACAACAACAACGTCAGACTTCTCGCCGTCCTCGCAGACCCTGAATCAGACGAGAAGAGCGAGTATCGCTTCCTCGTCGACGGCGCTCACGTAAGATACGTCACACTGGACGGGGGTCTCATAGACCCTGAACATCGCACATACGAACCAAAACTCCTCCCTCAACTCCCTGTATTCCCACCCGGAGACTGGAACGAGGGCCGTGTCGGAAAGGACGGGCATACAGGGAAGCCTTTCTTCTGCGAGACGAGAAGAAGCAGTCTACCTGGCATTGGAAATGTCTGGCATGATGTTATGATAGATCATCTCGAGCTCCGCCAGATCGAGCGTGTGCGTCAAACGCTCTATCGTGTATCGCATCCTGCTTTCAGTACACCAGTACTCGCAAAGTTTGCGCAGTTTCCATGGGAGATTCCTTACTTCGCTGCTGAGACAACGTCGTACGAATGGATTCACGGCCAAGGCATCGGTCCTGAGTTTCTCGGCCATATTCACGAGAACGGGCGAGTCATTGGTTTCCTCCTCGAAGAGATTCATAATGCTCGGACTGCAGAACCTGAAGATCTCGCCACATGCCAGCGAAGTCTGCAGAAGCTGCATGATCTAGGCATCGTACATGGCGATATCAACAAGCACAATTTCCTCATCAGACAGGATGGTGACGCTGTTCTCATCGACTTCGAGACAGCTTACAAGTGCACAGATCCAGATATACTAGATGAAGAGTATCGGCATGTCAAAGAGAGTCTGGAAGATACATCAGGGCGTGGAGGTGCAGGCATGGCGAGCGATTCAAGTTCAGATTGAGTGGGATAAGAGTGTACGGATTACAGTACAGTATATGATCACATGTGCAACAAGGTCTTCATCACGAATAGCAGGCGTTATCTTTTTTTTCTGATACCAGGGTATAGAGCAAATGTCAATTTATCTGATTGACTAATAAACAAGAATCTTTTTGTGAAAAAACAATGTGCCCCGATTTCCAAGGGTCTATCAAGCCCGAGAAACACCAAAAGCGCCATGAAGAAGAAGGAGAAGGAATAGTACAGTGGACATCTCCGAGCTTTAGTTCAGGAGGATCTGCTGCACATACTGAGGTCCGAACAAAGGCTCACCGAACGCAGAGCCAGGAAGAGTAGCAACAGGCTTCTCAGCAAGCTTGCCATCAGCACCTCGCTGGAGAGCAACAAGACCGCTGGTACCGTTCTGGTTACCAACAAAGACGTGCTTAGCAGTTCGGCTGAAGCTCATCATACGGGGGAGGAGACCACCAGATGAGACGGTATCAGCATAAGTGAGAGTTCCGCACTCGGCGATAGTGAAGCGAGCGATAGAGTCGGTCTCGTTTCCGGACAGACGGTTGGAGATATAAACGTCCTTGTTGTTAGGAGCGAGAAGGATCTCACCAACAGCAGCGGTCTTGGGGTCCTTAGCAGGAGCGTCCTTGCCGTAGGTAGAGATAGACTGGTGGTGCTTGAAAGCAAGGGTGTTTTCCTCGTAGGAGACAGAGTAGACGAGGGCCTGGTTGCTCAGCTCACAAGCAACGATGTAGTGGGTAGCCTTCTTTCCACCACGAGGGTAGAAGACACCATGTCGAGGACCACAGCCAGCCTCGACGGGGATGTTCTTTGCGATCTTGTAAGCGTCGTCCTTGGAGTCGATGATGACAACAGAGTCAGTGCCGAGATCGTTAACGGCAAAGTAGCGACCAGAGGGATCGAGGTTAGCCTGATGAGGATGAGAAGCAGCCTGGCGCTCCTTGTCAGGACCAAGCTTTCCAGGAGACTTGAGAGTCTTGACGAACTCCAGACCACCCTTCTCAGTGTTCCAAACATCAATGGTACCATTTCCGTAAGCAGCACCAACAAGGCGTGTCTTATCCGAGTTGAACTCAAGATGAACAACGCCGACACTTCCGGCCTTTTTAGTCTTGAGGGTAAGCTTATTAGCCTCGAGATCAAGGTTGAAGAGTCTCAGCTCATCAGAGTTCTCGTCAACGGCGTAGAGCAAGTCGGAGCCATAGTAGGCCATCCATGAGTTACCGCCCTCGATCTCCTGGTTCAGAGTGAGCTCGAACTTGCCCGTCTTGGGGCTGAAGTCGGCGACGTAGATGTGACCAGAGTTTCCGAGGAGGATGCGCGCAGCAGCGGATGAAGATGCTGAAGCGGTTGGGTATGAGCTGCGTGCGATGTTAGGAAGCGCAGAGGCAGATGTAGCGAGAGTGGTCAAGAGGCCAGCGATAGTGTACTTCATCTTTGTTGTGTGAAGCGTGTCTTGTTTTGTGTTGTGTTGTGTTGTTTCGTTTCAACGTCGTAGTGTAGTATAGCACTGTAGTATACTGTTATAGCGATCGACAATCAATATCGAATGGGGTATCAAAAGCTGAAAAAAGGCCAGAAAATTCTATAAAAGAGACAGGAACCAGTCCAATCTTTTTAAGTAGGTGTTGGTAGTTTTAATGAAGGGAGGCTGATGTTAGCAAAAAGGATTGCGGCTGTGAGAAATAGAGTGACCAAGGATCAATGGCTGGGGGTTTGGAGCATATATAGCTACACAATGTAAGCCTCAGCCTCCAGAGACCTAGACCAGGTAGTGAACCATTTTCACTCACAAAGGACTGTGATCCATGCAGATGCACAGTCACTGGGAACAAGAGCAATCCCCTCTTGTCAAGCCTTGTTCACTGGTGAAAAGGCGAACATCCCATTCCATTCAGTGGAGGCGCAGCGTCAGTGATTGGAAGAACAGCAGCGATCAACCAACCGCTGATCAGGGCTAATGTATGCCGGTAAGGTACCTATTACTGTAGGGGCTGTGCTACAGTGGCTGTAGGGCTGTTAGCCAGTGAATGTCCACGGCAACATGAAACGAAACGGATACCACAGTCAGCAAACACGCCTGTCGAGTTTCACCACTGATCCTCCCCCCATAACAATTGGCTCAGAGCATAGCGACTCCAGCGCTTAGAAGCTGAGATGCAGGGGGTTTCGCGTTTATAGGAGACCGCCAAGATGAGAAGGGATTGGATCAGCGGTAAAAAGCCTTTTTTTTTTCTCCGGCCACACAGCTTCAAGTCGAATGATGCCATGTTCAGATTCAGAGTAGGGCTGAATTGGTTGGCCGTTCTTGGAGGCCATGGTTTGTCTCGTTCCTCAACGCTTTGACTAGTGGTTATGCTTATTCGATTTTGCTTTTACTGACAGGTCGAATCGACATTGCTTTCATTAACTGATTCCTTCGCTTGCACGTGAGATTTTAGTACCTGTCATCTTAACACGGATGTCCTCATCATGCCATCAAATCCGTAGGAGTCTGTCTGACCCATTCCCTCTACTCAATCCCAAACACACATCTTCTCCATAACAAGGCGCATAGACCAGAAGATCACATATTTAAATAACAAAGCCTCCCAGTAATTCTTCACATGCCATCACATGCACAGCAAGCAAGCAAAAATACCTCATTTTAAAGAAGCCCATGCAAAACCATTTACCATTATTGTCCCTCTACTAACAGAATATGGACACATGAAAGAGAAGAAATTACATACAAAATCTCAATGCCGACCGTCATGAAATGCTAAACAGGAAACGTGCGGTGAGATGCTATATAGGAGTGGTAAGGGAAAAAAGAGAGAGGTTAATGGGAGGAGTCGCAGGACCAACAACAAACGCCATCATCATTGACTACAGCCAGAACAGAGCACCACCGGCGATGATAATGGCTAGAGCACTTGCGCCGTTCCTTGTGCCAGCGTTGGAACCCTTTCCATCATCTGAGCTGCTGCTGCTCTTACTAGAGTCCGAGCTGGCGCAGTCTTGGTTGAAGCTGTTGGTCTGACAGTTGGTGGTGTCAGCGGGCTCAGTATCATCTGAGTCGCCGTCAGGGTTGCCCGACGGGGTGTTGCTAGAACCGGATCCAGAGCTGCTGTCAGAGCTGCTATCGTCTCCGTGGTCGTTGGATGGCGCGCCGCTGCTGCCGCCAGGAATAGTGGCAGGCTCATCATCGTCGTCGTCCTTATCCTTGCTATCTTTGCTGTCCTTATCGTCCTTGTCATCGTCCTTGCTATCCTTCTTCTTGTCCTCCTTCTTTCCCTTGTCCATGTCCTCACCAGTGGCCATCAGAGAAGCAATGGTGTGTCTCTTGTCACCGTCGACAATGGTGTCGTTAGTGCCAGCAGCATCCTTGTACCAGTAGCTAGTACCCGAGTTGGTGCCGGGACCAGACTTGGCGTTGTAACATTCGATCTCAACATCGGAGAAGGTAGCAAAGTAGTAACCACTCTTCTGAATATCGGGAGCATCCCAGTCGATAGGACCTCCGGCCCATGCTACAGTACCTTCGGCGTTACCCTCCTTACCACCAGGCCACAGAGAAAGCTGCACACGAGAGGGTGTCTGAGGGAAGTCAAAGTTCTTAGAGGTGGCATTCCAGGTGTCACTCTTCTGCAGAGTTCGGCCGAGCTTGCCATCAACCCACCACTCAATCTTGTCGGGGGTCCATCGGATTTCGTAATCGTGAAAGTTGGCAAAGGTATCAGACAGCGTGATGTTTTCGGAATTCTCGTCTATCAAAGTGTCAGTCGTATCAGGTACAACATGCAATCACGTGAGGATTCATGGCTGTGCCACGAACAAGGGGCTACCTTGTTGTGTGACACGACACGGGGATGACTTACAGTTGGTGATGCCTTGGAAGTAATAATTGGTCTGAGCATCGCCGAGCTCTGTACCAACAAATTCATAATCGATCTCATCCTTGACGTCAGAGAAGAGAATGAAAGCAGTGATAACACCAGCGCCACGGCTGGTCTTGAAGCGAGCTTTGACGTTACCATACCACATGTAGACAGTAGAGGACAGCAGAGTGCCAACACTGTCCTTGGGCATGGTAAGAAGAACGTTGTTCTGGAAAACAACAGGCTCACCCTGTGCGACCCAGTCGGCCTTTGAAGAATCACCAAGATACTTGCCGATATCGACAATTGAATCGAGGGAGTTCATCTTCATCTTGCGGTCCTCGCAGACGGGAGCGGGAACACAAGAGTCGAGTGAGAAGGACATTGTGGGATCGCAACCACCCAGACAGTACGCACCGACACCGCATTCACCATAGGCTGGTACATGTCAGATATCAGATATCATCAACTTGGTGCAGAGAACTTACTGGAGCAGCATGGCGAGTCCTCGGGACAGTGGCTGCTGCGCGTGCACTGGACGGCAGCGACAGAGCTAGCGCCCAAAAGGGCAGCAACAACAAGAGATCGCAACATTATGAATATGAAATAGTCGAGCAAAAATAGATGTAACTGATGTTTCTAATGCGGGAGCGCCCTCGGATTAGGGGTTCGGTATTATGGTATGGTCTGGTCGGGCTATTAGGAGTAGATAGATAAGGCGCTGAAGTGTCGAGAACAGGTAGCGACTGCTGTTGAATCGAGTAGACACAAGAACGACAGTCGAAACAACCCAGCAAGCGAGCGACTTGGGCTGTTGTCGGTGATTAAAGGTGTATTTGCGTGACGTTGATAGCGACCGTTTTATCAGACTTCTGATTGACAGTTGAACCGAGTGATAAAGGGCGATGGAATGCGGGCCGCAAAACAGTTTGCGCGTCCTCGATCCGAAAAGATTGTCCCTTTTCTAGAAATCTCCCTTGAAGACGTAGGATTTTCCTTCTTAACGAGAGCAGAAGGATGTCGGACAACTCCACAGAAAGCGAGTGTCTGATTTGGAAGTTATCGCGTAGATTCTGCGAGTAGCTTTTTTTTTCGATCGATCGGGACTCGATTGTGTGACTTGAGCGAGAGACAAATAGGCGACGAGAAGATAAAGAAACGATTGATAGTGCCACCGATGTCCTCCCTTGGATTAGGAAGAAGGCAAAGGATGAGCAAAAACAGCGAAAAAGAAAAAAGAGGATTATCAACACCACAGAAGGCGAAATCTGGGGAAAGGATAGAACCGAAGGGAAGAGAAGAGGGATTAAAGAAGAGAAGCGAATCTCCCAAAGAAGAAGGCCCCCGTCTGTACCTGTCCGTCCCCCCCTCAGCACTCACACTCACTCACTCACACACACACAGACTCACTCACTCGCGCACTGGCTAGACTGGCAGAGCGGACCTCTCGTGCCGAGAGACACGAGACATGACCTTTTTCGTTTAGACGCACTAACACACTAAACCACTCTGGAGATAACACTGTCCAAGCTTGTACAAATGGCCAATGACAGCTCGAGTTTATTCAAACTTGGTGATCGGTTCGTCTAAGATCACGCGCCTGATCCTGGCTTGACCCCTGAACTCCATACACCTAAACAGAGCCGATGTGACTGTCTTGGTGATCCATCAGGAGCATCATCGTATAGATATCAGCTGTAATAAGACCAATTACTGCCATGGAATCCTAATAATATCCAGTCCATTAAACATGTCTTTGATACAACAGTCCTCCATCTCTGAATTCTCACAGCAAAGCAATCTCTTTGTTATCAGTTGCATCACCGCAGTCGCAAATAACCTCGTCCGCCAACAAAGTTCAACCAAATCGATTGAGTTTGACTTGATCTTCAGACCCGAAATGTTACTTACTATATATATTAAACTTTCAGCTTCGACTCCATTTACAACCTCACTGTATCTCTAATTCCTTCAACAATACCACAAGCCGTGAGTCCAAAGCCCGTGCATTCCGCGAACCAACATCCGTACCATTCAATCCATCCATATCACCCCAGATTTCAGGTCATAGACCCATCCCTGCCCATCATAATACGTACCGCCCCCCTTCATTCCGGCCCATTTTACCTTTCTCGCCAGAGCTCAATGCAATAACCACACGAGCAATGGATGCCATAATGAATTGGTACTCGAAACCCTTCCAAAACCCTTCGACGCCATCATGCATCGCCGTTGTCACATCTACATCTGGCACGCCATTTCCCGTCACACAACGCTTCCCCTCCCGCCGCCACAATCCCATTGTACCCGACAAGTAGCCTAGCCCAGCCTAGGTACTGTACCTAAGGTAGCCCAGGCTGACAGCCCAGCGCCCACTACAGGGGACACGCCGCGGTCCCTGGCCAATCTTATAGGCCTGCCAAACACCAACTTCCTGACAGTGGCCAAGCATCCAAGGCAAGGTGTCGCTATCGTACCGCAAAACTACCTAAGTAATCGGTGCAGAATAATGGCAATTGCTTTGTGTCTTCGCCAATTAAACTAAACAGCGACCAATATACAAGATATTTACGGT